CATTAAAATTCAGAAAATCGGCTTAGGGTTTTATAAGAAATGGCGATTCAGTGGGACGAAGGTTGGACGCTCATAATGGAAAACACTAGGATTTTATGGCTGTTTAAGAACGAGGTGATTGATGAGTTGAATCCGACAGTGTTAGACCATAGCTCATAATGGAAAACACTAGGATTTTACGGCTGTTTAAGAACGAGGTGATTGATGAGTTGAATCCGACAGTGTTAGAGTTTAAGAACGATGTGATTGATGACTTGAATCTGACAGTGATAGAGCGCTTGTTACAGTAAGATTTTGTTTCCTTTTATATATTTTTTGGTTTCTTTAGTAGAATTGAATTGTTATCTGAGAATTGTTTTTTTAGAAAGAATTGTTATTCACTTATCGAATTGCATGTTGCACTACAGATACATTTTTATATATTTGTTTCCTTTATTGAGATATATGATTTGTTTCCTCTATTGAGATATATAATTGTCTCTATTGAGATATATGATTGTGTCCATAATTAGGGTTGATATTGGTTGGCTCTTTACTCTATGATGACCCGATGTCAAAATTAATGAATTTTAAACAAACCAATTCATTCCATAAATTTGTTGATAAATTTGATGGAATTCTGAGTTGTGTGGATCTGTCTGAAAATTAGGCTGTTATAAATTAAATTAGGTTCATAACATTGAGTACGATATACGATTGTGTCATGATGGTATTACTAATTAGGGTTGAGATTGGCTCTTCACTCTATGATGGTCCGATGTCAGAATTAATGAATTTTATACAAACCAATTCATTCCATGAATTCTTTGATAAATTTGATGGAATTTTGAGTTGTGTGGATATGTCTGAAAAATAGGCTGTCAGTTGTGTATGATGGAATAAATTGTGCGGAATTCTGAATTGTTCATTTTTATTTGGTGATCAGTATATGTGATACCGTACAACATGTTATCTCATTTCATGTTATGAATTAAATTAGGTTCATACGAGGGGAGGGAGGTAAGCTCGTCATTAATATTCTCAATTCAAATTCTTTGAAGGACATGGAGGTAAGCCCCATGCGCTTTTGTGAAGGAATGTGAAGGAATGAACACATTATAATTGGACGACGCTTGCCTTATCAACATCTTTAGTAGATCTTGTTGTGCCCGAAGATGTTTTGCCTCTGGATCTATTAGGGAACCAATGTTTCTCAAACATGGTAACATCGACGAACTTGTTTTTTATTCCCATTATGTCAATCTTCAATTCTCCCTTTTCAGTTTACTTTTTGAAATGATGGAACTTTAATTTTGATTTCAGGCATATGACAACTCAAAGGGGAAATAATCGATGCATCATATCTAGTATGTTGCTTTTATCTCATATATTATATTTATTCCCTATTTCTAAAGTTTTTGATACACGTGTGATTTTTTAGATTGATGTACTACGACAACGGAATGGAACAAGCCATGATTATTTTCTTATGAAGAGATATAACTTTGACGTAGGAGGAAGAAGATGGTGATACTAAGTTTGTTGATGAATCAATGACGAGAGTTCACAATGAGGTGAAAGATGACAACCAAACTAGTGAGGTGAGTTGTGTTTGCCAAATATTTAATGACGCAATCGATTATGGAGAGTTTGATGTCACATTTTTCAAGACTTTGGAAGGTTCATGATGTTTGCAATCAAGGATAAACACGTTTATTCACCCTTTAGAGAGTCCTTGACTTGTGCAATTTCAGCTTTTGAAGATCAAGATAATGATTTAGAAGTTTATCTTGGAAGAAGTTTACTTAATTTAGATTCAATAAGTATTAGTTAGATTGACTGATATGTGGTTGATTTGATTAGATGGATAATGATTCCACGTTCTTAGTTTTTTCCCATATATTAGAGAGTATTGAACCTATATGAAGGGGCTATTAATATCATTTTGTGAGATATGGATATTCTTCTTTTTACCTTGAAAGAACTGTGAACTTATTTATCTTGTGGCGTTCAAACAATCTGCTTACCATCAAGATTTTTGAATTAATCTTAAGTTTTTGGTGTGGCGTCTTCATATCCATTGTAGTATTGGTTCGTGATTTACTAATCATTTGGTCAATGTTCGACAAACTTATTTTTTAGGGGATTTTTGAGGTCCCAAAACTATATATTGATATTAGATTTCGTCACATGTTGGCGTAGTTCATATTAGAGTTTGTATTCTCGATATTTTTTTGTTAAACTTTGATGCATGAGGATGAAGATGATGATTGAGTGTTGTCAAGATCATAAAGTAATGCGAAGATAAGAAAATATTGCATGTTAGCACATCTATTTTTTTAGTAGATTTTTTGGGCTTGTATAATGTGTGATGCTTGATAGACTATTTTATGTTGTGAATTCTTGATATATTATGTTAACTTAAGCTTTGTTTTATGTGCCAACAATAATATATATTCTTATTTATTTTATATTATGTTTAATTTGTTTTGCTCATAGGCATTAATCCCCTTGTTTGATTTTGAGAGGTTATATTGTGAATTGTTAACACATTCATGTAGAAGAGTATTGTTAGAAAATATTTGCATGGCAAAATCAATAAGAATTAAATTATGATATACTGGCTATTTTATTACTTAATCCTTTATCCTTAAGAAAACACACTTTTATATTTGAAACTACTTTTCCTACTTCCAAATTAAAGAGTAATTGAAACGAGAAGATGCCATAATTTATTTTCATCTTGATTATATTCATTCAAATAGGAAGAAATACTTATGTTTTGTTCTTTTTTATCTAACGATCAATAAATGTGATATCGTACAACATGTTATGTCATTTTATGTTATGAATTAAATTATATTCATAACATCGATCAATAAATGTGATATCGTACAACATGTTATGTCAATTTATGTTATGAATTAAATTAGGTTCATAACATCAATATATGTTTATGGTGATATAAATATTAGATTGTGTTGGTAAAAAAAATAATTTGCACAAGAATATTTTCTGGAGAGAATAAACTGTACTTATGTTAGTCGATTTGTAAAGTTGTAAAGATAACAAAAGTAATTTGCACAAGAACATTTTCGGGAGTGAATAAACCCTTTTTTTTTTTTTTACAGTATAATTCAATTTTTGATTTGAACATCTTATCTTAATATACATAATTTACAAAATAAAAATTAAATTAGAAGGTATTTATAATTTTCGAATTAGTTTATCTTTTTTTTCACAAATAATTCATAATTTTTAGGATAAATTAGAATTTCTGTAATTTACTAAGACCTCGAGTACCACTTTGAAATTCTATAAATATTATATACTATTTTGATATTAATAGCAAAAATTGGGTACCAAATAAATATATATTAGAATATAAGCTGCCCTCTAGGGTTTCAAATATATTTCCCCTTTTCACTATTAAGAAATCCACACTTTTGGAGAGATCCAAGCTTAGATACCCATCACCGGTAACCCTAAATTTCTTCATTTCACCTTCTGAATTGTTTTCCTTTTGAATTTTACTTTGATTTTCACACACTAATTTCTCGCGTTGAATTAGGGTTTTGTTTTTTCTGAGGAAGGAAGTACGTAGAGATGGCGGACAAGGATCAAGACTACCGTATATTTGTCGGAGGTTTATCGTGGGAAGTTACGCAGCGGCAGCTCGAGAATGCTTTTAATCGTTTCGGAAAAATTGTCGATTGCCAGGTTTGAATTTGAATTTGAATTTGAATTTGAATTTACCTTTTTTTGTGGAATTGTTTTCATATATAAATGTGTGCCTGTATATATGTAAATTTGGTTGTATATGCCTTCTCGTATAATTTAATAATCTGTTATTGGGGGGTGGGGGTGGGGGAATATGTGTGCCTGTCTTTAATTGATTCACCTTGTTGTTTTTTGCATGGATTTTTGTTCAAAGAAGGATTTTTTAATTGATCTATAAAAGGGGCAAACAATCAGGATTATTTAATTGCTTGCGTATCGAATTATGTGGTGAAGGTTATTGAAGATTGTATGCTCATTTTGTTCAATGCATATCCCTGTTTCTATTTATTCGTTTATATATATCTTCTCACTAATCACCATATTAATCTCAGAGGTTACCTTTTGTTTTTCTTTGTATGTCGGTTGTGACTTCTGATATGCTTTAATATGGGATTGGAGGAACCTTGTTGGCCATATGAGATTTTTCAGCACCGATGAAGCGTTTATTGTATTGTGTTTCTGGCTTTGTAATCAGCTAGTTGTTTTCTGGAATCAGTCGTGCACTTTGCAGTTTTAGTTGGGCTGTTCTGATTTTGATGCTCTGTTTGATCATGCTGCTACTTTGTTCAGGCTGTTTTTGACATATTTTGAGAAAAAAAAAGCAATAAGTTAGGCTCGTGAGTTTAAACTGCAGTAAACATTGGATTTAATTAGAAGTGGTAGCTATGTACAATCACTCCTACAATTATGAATCGCTCTGTGTTGGTCAATGATGCTCCATCGAAGCAGCACATTCCCCGACAAATTTTCTTATTCTTGTGTAATTCCAGTGGGTCTGTCATCAATGGATAGTCTTTCAAGATTTTGTGGATGAAAGTTAAATCTACCTGTTTGATTGCAACATATTCGGTCATCTGTAGTTTGAGGAAAAAAAGTGTTTTGAGCTGGAAGTTGACTCTGTTGATTGCCTGTCCTTTGCTTCTTCATTTTCACAGTGTCCAAAATGATTACGTTGACATTTCTTCTATCCTCTCTGAAGTCCTTAAGGCTGATACGTGTGTGTTGATCAATTTGTGTAAAAGCTACGAGCAGAAAAGATGACTGAACTTTGTTTTTAAATTATAGAATCTTGTGCTTATCTTGTGTATGAGTTTCCGAAAAGGATCAGATATAGTTCTTCTGGATTACATTCACAGAGCTCGTGGGGTGTTTTTTGCCTTTAATGAGAACTGAGAAAGTACTTTGCCTTCTTGTTTCTTGAGATTGTGGTCCAATCTTCCAGTAGCATCTACTTTCTTTTTAGGTGTTTAGAATGACAATCCATCTTGAAAATCTATTAGAGCTAAGAACTGAGTATCTGATTAAACTGGAAAATGTGATCGTTGTATCTTATATGTGCATGGAGACTGGAGGATACAGTTCAAAGGAATTAGTTTTTGTTAAGACAAGCAAAGCCGAGTGTTGCATGCGATGACTAAGTTAGGCGATTTTGTTTGTAGCCGCTGGACAAGGATGAACGTTTGGGAGCTTGCCTTGCTAGTTTGTGCAGGAGGTGTCCTCTTCTAGGCATATTGTTTAGTGTTGTGCAGACTGGTTTTGTTATGCGAAAGAGACAGTACCGTGTGAAAGTTCTGCTTTTGTCGGCCTGCTTTTGAGTTTTTCTTATTCGCAAGATCTAGAGCCCATGTTTTTTTCGTCGAGATCTGCTATAGCAGGCAGTACATGTTCATGTGATATGAAGCGTGGTCCCTCATAAAACTCAACTCCAAAATCTGGATAAATTCTCTGAATAATGATCATCCAGTGAGTGCAGAATGTATGTTTAAGTAGCTTTTTCCGTTCCAGCCTCTATCTGATACTATCATCCCTTCCGCATGTTTGAGTAAACAACTGTAGTATGTGTCTGAAAATGGTCCCTTTCGGTTGTAATATTAAATATGAAGTAAATAAGAAAACCGAGCAACAATATCTGGGAACATCTTCAGTTTGTGGGATTATACCACTTCCCAATGCCATGAGTTAGCTTTTCGAATGTGTCAAGACCTTTGAAGGTGAAGTTTGTATGGAAAGGTTTGTCTGACATGTAAATGAACATTGAGCTATCTCCACGCGTGCTAGGTGAAGCTTTTAGTGGCTGGTGGATTTATTTTCTTGTTTTCGTCATTGCTCAACATTCAATTCTTGCTGAATTAAGACCAAGTGTACTGAGTACAGTGAGATCATATGGCCACTTGATAGATTGTGTTCTGAGATTAGGATCCCATCGTTGTTTGATTGCATGACTTTTCTTACTGCTCTTTGTTCCGCTGAATTTGAGGCCTGGGTAAAACTAATGTCGGATCATGGAATCTGCTCTGCAGATTCTTCTACTCATGTAAGAACTTCTTGCACTTTAAGATGCTATTTCTAAAAAATCTATTTCAACTCATTTTAATGGTTGATGGCATCTATAGAACTAAAGAGGCAATGAAACTGCATAATCTTCCCTTCATAAATTGTTTGCACGTTTTACACTTCTTGTTTATATGCTCGGCAATTTTGTTTGATGTTGGTCTAGGAATTAGACGTACGGTCATCTTTGTGTCAGCAGGAATATAAAATGAAGGTTATTTCGAAATATAAGTCAAGTCTCTGCTAATATGATAGATCCAAGGACATTTTAGGGATTTGAGTTAGTTGATAATGTTTTCTTTGTGCAACTGATTTACTTCAAATCATAATTCATTTTTTTTCAGCATTCTCATATTCATTTCCGATAGTCATGTATTCATGTGTATTTTACTCAACCTTTCACATTCACTGCCTTTTTGCCAAGTTAAGTTTTTCTCTCATACGTAACGTATTCTTCATGTAGGTTATGATGGAACGAGATACAGGCCGCCCGCGTGGATTCGGCTTCTTGACTTTCGCTGACCGACGGGCAATGGATGACGCCATCAGGGATATGCATGGCAGAGAGCTCGGTGACCGAGTCATCTCAGTCAACAAGGCCCAGCCCAAAATGGGAGGCGAAGATTCCGGTCCGGGCTATGGAAGTTACTCGTCTGGCGGCAGAGGCAGCAACTATGGTGGTGGAGGAGATAATAGGTCAGCGGGGCCCGACGATTGCTTCAAATGCGGCCGACCGGGGCACTGGGCCCGAGATTGCCCGTCGGCAGGCGGCGGCGGTGGCAGAGGCACCCGCCCGTTCTCGCCGCCACGCTCTAGGTTCGGTGGGGCCGGTGGGCGTGGGGACCGCTATGCAGACGATAGAGACAGATACGTGGATGATAGATACGATAGAGGCCGTTATGGTGATAGGGACCGTTACGACAGTAGAGATGACCGATATGCGAGCCGTGATCGATTTGCTAATGACAGGTAGGTTTGCTAATCATCGAGTAATTAGTTGTTCAGTTTTAATTCCTTGTGCTAATTTTGGATTAAATTCGCGTAAATAGGTATGTACCGGCTGGAGATAGGTTTCCCATAGATAGGTATGGGGGGTCCGAGCGTTTTCCTCAGAATGGTTATGGCAAAGACAGAGGTTATGAGAGAGATGTGGGGCCCAGAGGCGGTGGTGACAGATACGGGGGTGGAGGGGGGCCAGCCCGTTATGAAGGAAGAAGCTATAGGGAAAGGGCGGGGCCATATGACCGCCCGAGGAGGGGGGGTCGACCCCCTTCGGTGGGGCGTTACTGAAAGTCTCGAATGTGTTTTTCTGCTGTTTCGAGATATTCTAATGCTTTGTGTCTTTTGTGAATTTTGGATATTGAGGTTTATTTGTTTTGCTTTATTTAGCCTTTTAGAATCGGTGGATGGAGTAATTACAACTGACTTCGCTATTTGCTTTAATCTCGTAATACACTTCCTATCTTTGCTGTTTCTTGCGGTTTTGCTATTGTTGCCCAAAAATCGAGAAGCCAGACCTGATCATGGTTCGGGTTCGGCCTAATTAACTGGTTCTATGGGTTGATTACTAATTTATTGGTTGAGCGAACGCACTTGTCGATATAAAGAGTCTTGATATGAAAATCCGTGAGTTTTGAGTTTAAGATGGGTTTATATTTCTTTTAAAACTTGTGAAACCTGCCAACTCCGTTTTGTATTGCAGATAATTGAAACTTAGGCCTCGTTTGGTTGGGAAGATTAGCCATGATTAACTAAATAGTTGGACTTTGTTTGATGTTTAGTATCCCAATAATTTATCCGCAAATATTCTATTATCATGACTTATCTTGCCGTTTAAGCATGTTTCTTGTTGGACCTTTCAAGGTCCAATAAAACAGTTACGTTTCATTAGATTATTTAATCTTATCTTGACTAATCTTATCTTGGCAACCAAACGAGGCCTTAGATTATAACTAGGATTCACTCTCTACTTCAATGTGGGAAATAAGTCATAAGCAAAGCATGACACAATTTCAAACCCACGGCCTGCGCTAGGAATCCCGCCATATTGTTCGTGCCGATGTGTATAATATCCGTACAGTTTATACATTCATCTTCGAAATAGCTCTACAACGAGCATTTCAAAGCTCGCTACAACTAAAATAGCTAACTTCCATCTGAACTAAGGGTGGGATTGGTAGGGGCAACCGTACCAAACCACTTGAATCACTACCATTACCAAAATTTCGGTATTATGAAAGGGGTGGCTAAAACAACTGAACATGTACCAAAATTTTCTTACTATAATACATCAGAATAAAAATTAGATGATAAATACTTAATAACATAAATACATGAAAATCGAATCCAAAAATACATTACAAATCTCATTTTTCTTTCTTCAATAGTAAACATAGACACGGCAATGGGTCGGGTTTGACCCGAACCCGACCCGAAGACAGAGTACTAACAACTCAGACAAGGTTACTTATTTTCATACTAATCCTAACTATAAATATATAAATATAAATAACACTGTAAAATGATTATAATAATTGTATAACTAATGTTTAATAAATTATTAATTGTCATGTTCACTATTATTAATATTAAAAATCTTCACTAATAACAAATGCATATATATTTAATTTTGAAAGATTGAATTTTTTTTTTTAATTTTGAAAATTTTCTCAATTATTATTTTCACTTATAAATACCCCTAATCCAATCTTCACAGCTTTCATTTTATTTAGTTTATATCTCAAAGTCTTAATCGTTTCATTTTTTTTTCTAAAATTGTTTAGTGTTTAAATTCTTTTTTTTCTTTTTTTTTTTTTTTTGTAATTTTGAATTTAAAGTTAATCTTAAGTTTTTTCTAGTTTCAATTAAGTTTTTTTTTTCTTTCTTGTAATTATTTGGAAAAAAAAAAAGGAAAAACCGGTTTGGAGCCGGACGCAACCCGGGCCCGGATGGACCCGTCCTAGACCCGGACCCGCCTCCCCACGGGACGGTTTTGGGTCCCGTAAAAGTCGGACCCGGACCCGACCCGCTCCGTGGCTGTGTCTAACTAAACACAAAAACCCTCCTCAAACCCCTCTCCTTCTTCATAAACCCCTCACCTCCTCCTCCTTCTTCTTCTTCCTATAAACAAAACCCTCTAAAAAAAATATCAAAACTAAAGAAATCAAAACCTTACACAACTTGCAAAATCGAGTCAAATGACAATAAAATAGTAGTTTACGAGTAAGGAGAACCCATTAAAATTCCATGTATTTTTTGAGCTTAAAAGTCGATTTTGAAATTTTTTAAAGCCGCCATCCATTTTCGACAAATACACGTCGAAAATGTGTGTGTGCTTTCGACCTTTATGTGCCAAATAAAATAATAATAATAGATATTGTGTATTTCGACGGGTGAGTGTCGAATTACAGTAAATTTTCGACATCAAAGTGTCGAAAATTCATTCATGTTAAATAAAATTGTGCTTACTTACCACTTGAACTACAACTTGACCTTGTCAATATTTCGCATTTAACATCATATACCAAGTTGTCATGCACATCCACTGCGCGTACAATATTATTTGATTTGATTTCTTTTAGGAAACTAGTTCCTAATACTGAGATATGTTTCAATTAGAGATCCTTTTTCAGAACATAAATTTGATAACTACTTGTTACAGACTTCAACTTCGATCAAGTAGCGTGCGTCAATCAAAACGAATTACGCTACTCGCACTTACACTACAAGAAAAAGTTTCCTCAATGACATCTAAATGCAAAGAATTACGCTACTCGCGCTTACACTACAAGAAAAAGTTTCCTCAATGACATCTAAATGCAAAAGTTGTCACTACATGCATATATTAAGGCACAATATTTTTTTTTTTGTCACTAATAGTTCTTTTTGTTGTCATTTAATCATTATTTATTGTTACTCTAGAGCAGTAGATACATTCAATTAGCGACAACATTTTTTGCCTAATTAGGTGAAAATTGGACTCACTCAAAAAAGGTCATTTGTAGCATTAGGTAAACTTCGTTACATATTGCTTGAATGCTTTAGATTTTTGGATGATTCCAAATGAATGTCCTACCACTATTTATACAAGTATACCCTATCAATGGACAATGGTGATCATCTCGATGTAATGACTAGGTGTTGTTCTCTAAAATACTTCAAAGATTTTCTACCAAATATCGGAGGATTTTCTTCTAAGAATCTCTACAAGTCCACTGTACACTTGGGCCTAATTGATATCCTCCTAAGAATGTCTACAAGTCCACTGTACACTTGGGCCTAATTGAACCATTTTCCATTGGACTTGCAGGATCATACTTAGTCTCTTGGACCCATAGAAAAATGGCAAAGTATTGATCCAAAATAGGCGGCCCGTAACATTCTCCCCACCTAATCCGGCGATGTCCTCGTCATCTCGAACGTCTTAATAATGTCCGCGAACAACCACATTCTCTGACGTCATCTCGGATCGGGCAGTCCTTTCCATTTGAACAAAAAGTGTTGTGTGTTCGATTGCACACCTTGTCGGCAAACGACGCGTCTCTCGAGTACCGCTTCCACCGGCTTGTTATAAGACTTGTTTACCACAAACAATGCTCGACAGGATACCCTTGGCTTGTGTCTTCGCGTCCTTATGATATGGCTTGAGCATGCTCATGCATTAATCATTTTATTGTAATTATATATATTGATTCTTTAAAAAACAAATTATAAATACAGTCGACGAGACTAAAGGTTGCAGATGGCCGTGAAATTCCGACGCACCTCTTGTAAACGAAGCAAGTTCTGCTCTGTAATGCATACACATTCCTGTCAATATTCTCTATAGACTTTGGTTGTTACTTGTTAGCAAGTGATTTCGTGTTGTTTTAGTTACATTACACTGCTTTATTTCCTATGGTTTTACATACAAATCTAGAAATTGTTTCTACTGTTTTTTTTTATATCGAAATCTTCTGTGCATATATAGCTTGACGTATTTTCGGTGAATGAGAAATTAATAAATCACTTAATATATTTATTTATTGAAAATAATAGGTGGAAACTCACCATTAAAACATGGAGTTGTTGAGACAACTTTTTCGGCCGAAAATATGTGAAGATACCTATCCGTTTGAATAAGTCTTTAGTTTATATGAAAATATATAAAATCTTTTCATAAATTATTTTTCTAAGAGTTGTGATTATTATTTATTAGCCACAACTATTGAGAATTTATAAATAGATCGTAGAATCCATCATCTTACTCACTCATTCGATTCCAAATTTATTCTATGTAATTTTTTTTTTTAACCCGAAAATATTATTTGTGAACATTTTCTTCTGTATTCTTATTGAGAGTTCAAAACAGATTCAAGGGTTTGTAGATTTTGAGATTAATAGTATTACGATGTAGAAATAAGGTCGTTGTATCTTAGAAAACAATTGGTATATAGCCATGAGAACCAATGTGGAGCAATATTGTCTTATGAACAAAAAATCGAGTTCTTGTCTCGACTATTTTGCTAAACTCACTACTGTTATTATGCACTGAAAATTAACAGTCTTAATTAAGACAGACGATATTTTGTGTGATTTAGTAAAATGGTTTCTCAAAGCATTACGTGGAGATCGATATTTTTTATCGAAATGGAATCATATTAAATTAAATAAAATAAAAATCTAAACAACTAAATAAAAAAAAAACTACAATTCCAAAACCTAAGACTATGATTGGGTTTGAGAATGATCAACCATTTTCACTTCCTTCTTTGTATCAATAGCTTCCATTTCATGTCTAAACTTCTTATATATATCACTCTTGTAGTATTTCCTAGTCCTCATCACCAACACCAAAGAAGCAAGTGCACCAAAAAAGTTCACACAAGCCAAAATCAAGAAAGAAACCCTATAACACTCGGTCCCAATGCACGTCAACTCGCGCACCATCGACCTCGTCATCCCTCTATCAGCCAGCTGTCTCAACGCCTCACGGTCGTACAATCTACCGACCGTTTTCACGTTGAGAGTGTACGATCCAATAGGGCCGGCCAGTTGCCCGCAGTTGAATATAGTCGAATAGTACTTCAATCCGAAGAGCTCCGACAATATAATAAACAAAATCGTGAGTTGGATCCCGAACGAAAACCCTATAATCAACGTGGCAGCGTAAACCGAGCCTTTGAACGGGAACGCGACGATGAGGTCCCCGACGCACGGGAGTAAAAGCGAGAACGTCATCATTAGTGTCCTCGGGACCTTCCACTCCAACACGAGCTTCTCCGACACAAAGCCGGAGAAAACCCTACCGAAGAAGTTGAATATGCTCACGAGCGAGACGAACGTGCTCACGGTGTGAGACGGATACCCTAAAGATTCCCCGATTTGACCTAGGTTGTCGATCGCGGTCAAACTGCAACCGAGCGCGCAGAAAGTCGAGACGAAGATAATAAGCATATCCACACTCAACAACGCTTGTAGTATAGTGTAGTCCTCTCCCCTCTCCGGCTTCTTGAAGATGTCTTTATACCAAGGTGTATTGTTGCTCGTGTTTTTCCTTTCGTCGTCGGCCATCTCGGATTCTGGATCGCGTTTCGGCGGGTCTTGGATTACGATAGAAGAAGGGGTGGATCCCGATTCCGATTCCGATTCCAAATATTCCTTCTTCCTCGATTGCCACGTGGCTATTTCTTGCCGTAACCCTATAAAGAAAGGCGCGGAAACCAAGAGACAAACAACGGTGGCACTTGCCACGTACTCACTGTGTGAGAAATGGACGCATTTCTGAGCAATAATCACTCCCATGATGACGAAAGCAGTGACGACAGCAGCGATGAGATAATACCACAGAACTTTGACCTCGTTTTTGTGGGTTGACGGTTTCATGATCCGCATCACCGGCGCGAAAACCAAGGAAACCGCCGCCGGAAGCCAGCCGATAAAAAGGATCATGGATTTTGCGTCGTCGCCGTATATTGCCAAATACAGCTGCGTGAAAATCGCGCCGCTTAGGCCGACGTACCCCTTCATCAGACCGATCAACCGGCCCCGGTTCTCCGGGAAGTTTTTCACGCAGGGGACGAGCGAGCCGGTGTTCGCGAAGTTCTGGGAATTCGCGCCGGCGCAGATGTATACGTACATCTGCCAGTCGGCGGGTCGGGGTATTTTCTTGGTGACGGCGAGCCAGACCATGAAGTAGCCGCCGAAATTCATGGCGGCGCCGACGGTGAGGACGAACCACGGCGGCGTGACCTCGGCGAGGAGGCCGGAGAGCACGCCGACGTTGGCGCCGAGATCCTTGACGGAGCCCAGCGTGTTGAGCGTCGATTGGTCGTAGCCCAGAGTGGATTTGATCTCCTTTGAGTAGACGCCGAAGAGGTAGGTGGCGCCGGCGTTCGCCATTATCATGAACGAGCCGGACTGCATTAGCCACCGTCCGTTGATAACCTGCAGGATGAACCGGCCCGCCGTGAATCCGCCGCTGGACGGCGGCGCCGCCGCCGACGGTGGAGCCATTTTTTTTTTTCTCTTTCTTTCTTGCTGGAGATCTGGTGGTGGGTGAGTGGAGTGGGGTTGTTATTATTTTGTGATTTGTGAGTGTTGTTGCTATTAATATGGATTTGGATTATGGATTATGGGATAAAATAATATATATAGTAATTATATATATATGGATGAATAAGATAATATTATCCACTGTAATTAATTTGTAGAGCAGATATATATGGATCTGATTCCCTGGTTTTACTGGATCTGATCTGCCTAGTTGAAGGAAGACTTCTACTCGTTTTGGAACTAAATTACGAAAAATTTCATCTTATTTCGGAAATTACAACAACATCTCAATTATGAATTTTCTTACACGTACAGATTTAGTAGAATCTTCTATATTATATGGAATATTCTCAAAAATTTGCAACCCGTTTTATCTTATTCGAGCTCCACATTTTGAAGCAAGATGATCATAAGATCTGTTTTTTGGCTTCCCTTGATTGTTCGTTTTACAAAAATATATGCCAGATCGATTTTTTAATCTCATCAGTAACTGTATAATTTAGTGATTCGAAATTGTTTTCTTAAAAAGAATTCTAAAACCTAAGACACTGTATAACGCTCGTTCCCAAGACACGTCAACTCTTGCACCATCGATCTCGTCATCCCTCTAGTTGCCAGCAGTTTCAACGCCTCACGGTACGGTCATACAATCTCTTGTCCTGACGGTTTTCACATTGAGAATGTACGATCCAAGAGGGCCGCCGATTGCCCACAAGTGAATAAAGTTGAATAGTACTTCAATCCGAGAAGCTCTGATAAAATGATGAACACAACCGTTAGTTGGATCCCGAAAGAAAACCCTATCAACAATGTAGCAATGTAAACCGAGCCGTTAAAGGGGAAGGCGATAAAGAGGTCATCGATGCACGGGAGCTAGAGGGAAAAGGTCATCCATAGGGTCAACACGAGCTTTTCAGACAAAAAACCGGAGGAAACCCTACTATATCGTTTCCATAGAAATCGTACCGTAACATGACACACTGATACGAACAATTGCAGAGATATGCCTGAGTTACAAAATTATTTTCTTATTCTCTAGTACATTTCAAACAAAAAAAAAAAAGAAAAATTCTACACCACCAAAAAATTTATATATATGTAAAATTTCCAAGTTTCAAGTATTTCCCTATAGACAATCCCCACACACAAGTGCAAACACATTAGAACAAACTTCAAGACATTGTTGTATCTATAGCTTTACACACCTTACCTTTACTTACATTGCCAAAAAAAAAAAAACTACCCATTACGAAATAACCACCTCTTCGACTCGCTGAATAAGCTCCAAAACACTCCCCGCCTTCCTCTTCGCCCTATCAGTCCCATTCTCCGACAACTCCTTCAAAGCCTCTTCAGCACCGAGCTCCCTCGCAAGCTTCAAACACTGCGAATTTCCGGTGCACAAAGACCACAGTATCGCAGCCGCATTCTCCCTATTACGTGGCGAACCTGTCCTAATAACCTCGACCAAAATCGGAATCGGCTCAGCCTGTCCTAAAGCCACCTTCCCTTCTTGATGGCTCGCAAGTATAGCCAATATAGCCAGCGATTCATCCACCATTCCACCGCCTTGATCCTTCAACAACCCAATCAGTGGCGGTACAATCCCAGCTCTCACCGCCCTCACTTTATTCCCTTGATAAATCGAGAGGTTGAAAATAGCCGTGGCGGCATCTTTTTTACCTCTAGGAGTTCCGTGGCAGAGGAGGTCTATGAGGGGGGCGATGGCCCCTGCTGCTCCGATCGCCACTTTGTTCTCGTCGACGACCGATAGGCTGAAAAGGGTTGCCGCCGCATTCTCTCTCGCTTCCGTGCTTCCGTTTTTTAAAACGTCTACTATATCAGATATTGCGCCGGCATTTACGATAATGCCCTTGTTGGATTCGTGTATGGAGAGGTTTAGGAGGGCTGTGACTGCATGCTCTTGTGTACGTAAATCTTGGGAGGAGAGGAGTTCGACTAGTAGAGGGATTGCTCCGGCTTCGGCTATGCAAACTCGGTTGTCTGCGTTCCGTTTGGCGAGCAGGCGAAGTTCGCCGGCGGCAGCACGTTGCTGGTCGGGGTTGCCGTTGGCGAGCTTCTTGAGGAGAGCGGAAATGGCAGCCCGGTCGCAATCGGAGGAGGAGGTGCCGCCGGAGGCGGTGCTGGTGGTGGATGATCTTCTGTTGCGGCAGTTGCCCTGTTTCTTGGGCAGCTCGACGCCGTTGCTCTCGCACCAGAGTGCGATGAGGCTTTTCAGGACGTAGTTGGGAGTTAGGGCAGTGTGGGAGAGTGTCTGCTGAGTCTTGGGGCAGGTTTTGTGGCCAGCGTCTAGCCATTTTTGAATGCAGGACCGTTCGTAAGTCTGCATTTGGAAAAAAAGAAGAACAAAGAATCAAGAATAGTGATTTAATAAGGGCTTCATAATATAAGGTTGCGTTTGGTTGGAAGTTTTAAAATCCAGAGTAACAAAACCATTGAGCTAGTTTGGATGGATTCTATTAATAACAGGTTACAAATCGTTAACTCTCAATTCGAAGTTATTCTTGAGTTATTGTGGTGGATTTCGAAACCCACTCTACAAGGAGTCATTTGAAATCCTTTCGAAAAATACTCTCATCTAATCCAAAATCATTCAATCCAAATCCACTCCATATGGATTGCATTTGGATTGAAGGATTTGGACTTCGGAAGATGATTTGAGGAAGGATTTGAAATCTGCAACAATGACTACAAAAATATTTTTAAATAAGAGCTATTTTTTTTAAATCTATCATCAAATCACTCGATCCAAACAAGCTTAATGGTTTTGTATTACGAATTTGAATCTTTAGCTCAAATCCTACCACCTAAAGGCAATTTAAAGGATTATAGAAGAAAATCAAGTACGAACCTGCCCCGTAGACACAATCACAGGATCTTTCATCAACTCCAGCGAAATCGGACAACGAAAGTCATCAGGTATAATAGGAGATCTGTGCTTCATCGAACTCTTGTCAATCTCATTCGACTCGGCTTCTTGATTATCCGTCATCACACAGTCCTTCAGTTTCCTCAGAAGAAACGACATGGTCTCAATATAATCATCTGAAATCCCCTCGTGGGCCCCACCACCACCACCACCACCGCCACAAGAGATGACCATATCGTGTATGGCAATTAACTCCGCCTTAATATCGTTTGTTGTGGTGAGATGGAGCTTCTCCGAAAGCCGTTTGAAAACCATTTGGTCAGGGTCGTCTTCCATCTGTGCTGCAGCTAAGTCCCTCACTAGTTCCAAATCGGGAGATTCCATTCGACCTATTGCTCTTTTGAATTGCGCGTGTAAAAGTTCGATCTAGATAAAAAATAATTCGACAGCAAAAGTGTAAATATCAAATATGAACAACACGTCTAATGAAGCATTTTAGTAATTAAACTTTGAGATTCCGCACCTGTTCGAGAACTTCCTCGGTTATATCGAGTTTATTATAGGGAACCTGAGATAGTGCTGCTTCGATCTGCTGTGTTACTTGTTCGAATTTGCTCGCGATTTTGTCAACTTGCAGAGCCTGTAATTATATTAGAAAAAATAAAAAATGCCTCACATTTAGTTCTATTAACATTTACAAATTCAAGAGCAAGTATTACAAAAGGCGAAATCTGCAAATTCTCCTGTAAATACAAACTAATTCTATCTGATCAATGATCATTGATCTGTAATTATCAGTTTTAATTACTAATTACCTGGATTTAATTGCGGAATTCAACTACTCAATTAGATAAATACAAAACCAATTTCATTCAAGGAAAATCCTCAAATTGTATACAGAATTACAGATATATGTGTGTGTGTATATATACCTGGAATATTTTACTGCCTTCGTGGACCGATTTGAGAAGCTGAAGAGCCGAGTCGAGAGCGATTCTGAGCGCGTCAAGCCCCTGAACGACGTCGTCTGCAAGCTGCTCCTCGCCGCCGTCCTTCAACTCCTCAAAGAGAGGGCTCAGCAGCTTAATTCTTCTGACCAGATTACCGTACATCTTCCTGGAAACGGTTTTGCACTCGGGCAAAGCGGTGATGGCTTTGACGGACTCACTGAGTTGACTCAGTATCGCCTCCTCTGGATTTTCCGCCATCGTCGACGAAAAATTCCACAACAAAAACGCGTGAATTGCAGGCGGTACAGTAAGAGAGCACCGGATTGAGAAAACGAAATTGGGGATCAAAAAGGTTAATTCGATTTTTCTTGAGCTGAAAAAGGTGGGATTTCAAAATTACAAATGAAGAACTCAGCGAAGAATAATGTAATAAGAATGTGTAAGAATGTAAATTATGGAATCGAGTTGGAGTCTTATTTAGAGGAGGTCATGTCTGAAAAATTGCTGAATTTTAGAGAGAGAGAGAGATTAATTTATTTTTTTATTTTTATTTTTAATTAAGAAGTTTTTTGTCACAATAATATTTTGGTTTTTCTTTTAGTATTGTTGCGAGGAATTAAATAAGTGATAAATTATTAATGATTTTCTTTGTAACAAGAAAGGTCAAATAAGAGATGCTTGGTCCATTGTACTTTTAATCATTGTATAAATATAATTTTAACATAAATATAAAAAGGTGGTAATATAAATATTAGGTGATTATTATATTTTTATAGTTATATATAACAAACATTAAATTCAACCATTATTGTCATGGTATAATTATGTTTCTTAATGGAAGAAATTCAATAATCATCAAAACTCAAACTTGATTTATTTCATGCTACTTCAGGTGAAGTATATCGTATATATCATCAACATTCAATATTACGAAGAAAAAAAATATAAATGTTACGTAAGCGATTGCCTAGCAGTTTAATTGATTGAGATTTTCTGTCAATTGAATTATGTTGAATCTCATTGTTAACGATAGCCGAATGGAGCTTGTTACAGATAGTTAGCCTAAACTAATTATGGTCGGGTGCGTAAAATAATGATTGAATTGTGTCATCATGATTCATGCCACTATTTCTAAATGTAATGACATTTTGACTATAAAAAGTTCATTTTTAGAAACCAGAAATTTAGTATAATTGTCACGTTATGTAGTACGAACACTTCAACTTCTTAATGTATCCGTGTTTCGAACACGTTTTGTGTCTAACACTCGAGGACACATGCTGAACATCTTATGAGTCATTTTTGTAATTTCTCGAAAGCTAGAAAAATGTTTGAATAACAAATTTTCAAGTATTTTTGTTGTTTCCTTAATTATTTACATAATTTAATGGTCAATTACAAATTAATAATTGATAATAATATTTATGTTTGAATATATTTCATATGAAAATATAAAACAGAATTTAGATATAAATAAAAACTAATATATATATATATATGTATATTGCATATTCATATTTATACCCCTACACTTTTAATATTTACACATTTCTCCCAAATTCCGTACATCGAATTTTTGGAACATGCGGTTTTCGCGTGTCAGTTTCTCTCAGTCCTACATAGTTGTCTAGTAATAAAAATCTTAATGAATAAAAATAAAATAAAATTCTAATATAGAATTTTGGGATTATGTAATTGTCATTTGTCCATTTCAGATAAGGTAATTCTCATCAACTAGAGAGAGAGAAGAAAGAGAGAGAGAGAGAGAGAGAGAGAGAGAGAGAGAATGGCGAGCTTATCAGTATCAGATTATGGAGCTTTCATGGAGAAATTCACTCTTCTTCCCGACACGAATTCATCTCAGAAACTTCCCCTCAATGGCCTTACCTTTTCTGTTAAAGACATGTCAGTCCCTTCCTTTTTTAATTCATATATAACAATTAACATGATTATCTGTATCTATCTATTTTTTATACACACACTTATTAAATAATTCCTTTTTTTTATTTTCCATTTAATTCTAGGGTTTGATAAAGATGATTCCTTTTAACACCATATTTACTAATTTTGCTCTATGATGTATATGATTGGATTGTGGGAAGAAATATGAATTTTGGCTGCACCTGGTTATTTACATTTGAACGGTAGATTTGATTAAATAAATACTTCAGTAAGCACACGCACACATGGGTGTGTGCGTAATTATGTGTAGATCTACTGTTCAAATCCACCCAGTGTAAATAACCAGGTGTAGCATCTAATTTCCCGAATTTACTCAATTTTTGGTTTGAATTTTATTTTCGTGATAAAAGAAAATATTAAGTTATTGGTTTGATCAGATTTGATGTGGAGGGTTATGTGACCGGTTTCGGGAATCCCGATTGGGCGAAAACGCATTCGGTTTCTACATCGACTGCACCGGCAGTTATGTCTGTGCTGAATGCAGGTGCCACTTGTGTTGGTAAAACTGTAATGGATGAAATGGCTTACAGGTTTGAAATTTTGATCATTCAACATATATCCGCATTTTAATTTTTTTTTTAAATATTTCGAAAATCGTTTCTCGTAACGTGTGTTTTGGTCAGTCGGTCGGTCGGTCAACTCCAGGACAAATGAGGTGCTAATTGAACCAAACTTGTTTGACTTTTGCAGAATACTGTTAAAATGTTTCATACATTTTCTTGTTTTTAATTTGGACTTATGGTTAGCTATTGTGACGTCGATGCATCGTTTGGAAAAAAATTAAAATTAAAAAAAATAATAAGAAACAGTCGTTGACGTAAGAGAAGAGATCATCGGTGTTGAAATATGCTATCTCTCTCAAAGAATTTACGACAATGGATGTTTCGGGAAGAAAATGAAGTTGTGACGTTTGATTTTTTTCAGAACGGCATTTCTAATTACGAGCATAATTACGTAAAGGGTATATATACTTTGATGTGAAATTCTTTCAAGAATGCCGTTGGTTGGTGATAACATTTCGAGTGGTTATTGTTTTTTCCTTTTTCTTGCTAAATATTGAAGGCCGATTTTTATCGAAAATATAATTAAAATAATTTTTTTTGGGCAGCATAAACGGGGAAAATATACATTACGGAACACCAACTAATCCATGTGCACCAGATCGAGTGCCTGGAGGATCGTCTAGTGGATCGGCTGTTGCAGTTGCTGCAAATCTTGCCGATTTCTCCTTAGGTGAATTTTTCTTGTTTCTTTTTCGGAATTAATTATCGTTTTTTATTATTTTTTATTATTTTCATTTATTTATATCCAAGTACTATAATCACTAGGTACCGACACGGGAGGAAGTGTGAGAGTTCCCGCATCGTATTGCGGAATTTTCGGGTTTCGTCCGTCTCATGGAATTGTTTCGACAGCTGGAGTAACACCAATGGCGCAGAGTTTCGATACAGTTGGTAAGAACTCGAGAAATAATCGTAAATTTAATTAAAATACTCTTCGTCTTAAATAATCTTTAAAAATCCATTTTGAAGGATGGTTTGCTAGAGATCCAACGATACTGAAGCAAGTTGGGAAGATTCTATTGCATTTGGAAGACGATAATCCCGTAAAACTCGGTCAACTTACTATTGCAGACGATTGTTTCGATCTTCTAAACATGCCTAGTCACCGACTGAAAGAAATTCTCGTCGCCTCGGTAGAGAAGCTCTATGGAAGTAAGCCATTTTTTAATAATGTGATTTTTACAGAATATTTCATTGAAAAAAAAAACGTTCGATTTATACCCGATTTCGTGTTAGGCGAGAAGATACAATATACGAATTTGGGGAGTTTCGTCGAGGCCAATGTTCCGAGTTTGAAGCATTTTATGGGCAACAACACGACCGAAAAACGAGGCGATAATATACCGTCGTTAGTTGCTCTGTCCAGCGCGATGCGATTGCTTCAAAGGTGCAAATAGTGAACGAAAAAATAATTGCGATCGAGTTACAAACATGCCTTTTATATCTACTAATTCAAAGAATCTTGAAAATATGAGATATTTATTAAAATATATACGAAAATTCAGGTACGAGTTTAAGAACAATCACGGTGAATGGGTTCGCTCGGTTAATCCCGATTTAGGGCCTGGAATATCGGAAAGAGTATGGGAAGCTGTCGAGTCGACGGACGAAAATATAGAGGAATGCTATACTCTGAAGAATGAATTGCGCGCAGCTCTTGGTGATCTATTAGGGGTACTCTGTTAATACCTTAATTTTATAATTTATGCTTAATTAATCACTTTGAAAATGAGATTAATGTTACGCGTGTTTGGCTCGCTCGATAAAAATACAGGAGTTTGGCATTCTTGCAATGCCTACGGTTCCGGGGCCTCCGCCGAAGGTAAAAACGGAACCATCGACGCTGGAAAACTTCCGTGCTAAGGCCTTTAGTTTGTTGTCTGTTGCTGGAGTTTCTGGATTTTGCCAGGTTACTCTCTCTCTCTCTCTCTCTCTCTCTCTCTCACACACACACACACACACACACACATGTGTATATATATATAGATTGATGAGAGAGAAATGCAATGAACAGGTGAGCATACCATTAGGGATGCAAGATGATTTGCCAATTGCAGTTTCTTTGTTGGCAAAACATGGCTCAGATGGACTTTTACTTAGTTTTGTGGAGGCTCTTCACACAAGTCTTAATCCCCAGTGAAAACCTCAACAACTCTATTTTTCTCTATGTTAATTACTTTATTGGTTAATGAAACTTAGTGTTTGAATTAATTCAAGGGTAATAAGGATAACAATATTTAAAAAAATTAATTAATTCATAATTATTATAATGTGATATATAATACAAGATGAATACTTTTTGTCCAAGGTCATGACTAATATAAATTGGCAGATAGATTTATATTTTTTATATAAAATATAACATAGTTATATTCTATGTAGCACGGAAACAAAAATAGTGAAACGGGGAAACGGTATATGTCCTAAAAATGGGGATACGAAAACTTGGTGGAAACATATAAATATTAAAAGTATTGGGGTATATTTATAAATACTCTATATAAAGATATATAATTTTACTTATATATAAATTCATTTTATATATTTTTATACAGACATATTCAAAATAAATTTGCAATTGATCATTAAATTATGTGTAATTTTGGAAAAATATTTAAAAATTGTGGTATTCAAATATGTTTCTAACTTTTTAGAAATTGCAAAATGATCCATAAGGTGTCCGACATGTATCTCAAGTTTCCAACACGAAATCTTTCTGAAATGCGGAAATGTTAACAAGTCAAAGTTTTCGTGCTACATAGGTTATATTACGAAATCACAAAATGTATCATAAAATTATATCATATACTTCGAAAACATCGAAATATTCGAAACTAAAATTGAATCGGAAGTCCGATTTTCCAGAAATCTTATATACAATTCCAATTTCGTTCCAAATAAATTCCAAAAAGTAAAAAATTGGAACTTCAAAGTCAGAATGAACAGTACATTTCCAAATTCAAATATTTTCGAATCGTAATTGACGGAATTCAGAATCCCATTCCGATTTCGACGCCTAGTCACGAGAGATGGTTGATTACGCAAAACATAAACTATCACATATATTATATATAATATAAGAATAATGAAGTGAGAATAAAATCGAGTCCACGTGGCTCCACCGTTGAGTCTTGATCACACATTTGGTCGTTACAAATACAATACACATAAAATACAAATGTTAATTAATGTGTTGCATATATATATATATATGTATACGTGTCTATTGGTTTGATGATACACGTAAACGCGTGTTTTACCAATTTTTTTTTTTTGTTTTGTTTTTTGGTTTTTGAATTGTAAACGCGTGTTTTACTTGAAATATACGTTTTGTCAAATATTACAAGTTGCATGGTCCATACCTCGTTGACAATTCTGCATTAAACATGCATTGCATGGACTAATATGGAATCAATTATTGAAGCAAGATGCAATAAATTTACATCTAAAATAATTTGTTAGGAAAAAAAAAGATTCAGAAGTTGGTTGGTGGCTAGAGAAATTAGAAAAAAAAAAAAAAACGTATATTATAGAAGAAGGTTCTTTTGGTTGGTATAATTCGTATTTAAAAAATATGTGTGTGTGTGTGTGTGTGAGTGTTCATACTTCAATTTAAATTTTGGCATCAAAGGGAAGAAGGGTATTTTCTTCTAACGGTTTTATTGATTGACTTTGTGGGCGGAGTCAGCATAGGATCCGGAAGGGGCTTGACTGCCCCAATATTTCTCAAATATCTATTAATTTGTATAAATATATAAAATTTTATGTACAATAGAATTGACGCGCTCCTTCCCCCTACTTTCAGAATTTTTTTTAATGCATTCGGCTCCCTCGTATTTAAAATTTTGGTTCCGCTGCGCATGGTGAAAACAACTCGGGAGATATTTGTGGGTTTCTAGACGGATCAAAATTTTAATATACTAGTGATAATATTAATATACAGTTGATAATAATATCTAAGAAACTAAAAACAAGAAAAAACAAAAAAACAAAAAACAAAAAAAAAAACCCTTAAAATTTTATTTTGCGAAATTCGAGTAGATTAATGAATTTTCAAAGTGAGAAAGATAGAGATGGGTCAATATCTTAGTTCAGTCCAAATGAATCCTTATTGTGCCAAAAGCCCAATTAGATTGTAATTTTGACTGCAGTTCACTACAAATTAATACAGTCGGAACTAACAAAATTCTATTAATTTAGCGAAATATGAAATTATCGAACTAATAATCTAATACATTTTTACAGAGTTGGGATCGAGAGAAACTATTACTGAAGCGAGGTTATTAATTTATCGAGGTTCTACTGTGAAATACAACCCAATCAATAAGCAGCCTAATACTATATATATATCTATATATAAAGTGGAGCAAAAATCAACTATTTCATATAAAGATTTGTTACATAAAATAATACTCTCCCATTTTTAATTTCCACCAATCAATGTATATGTCTCAACATTCACTTGATACAACAAAGGGAGGCACAAAACCAACATCCTTCAAATTTGCAGACAAGCCCTTCAACTCCTCATAAATCTCATCACACATCGGATGCTTTCTATCTCTAGAAACGAAACAATTCGTATAACCGCCGATATCGATCCAACTACATCCAACCTCCTTCACCGCCCCCCTCTCCGCCATTTCTCTCCTCACACTCCTCACATACTCCCAGTTCCCCTCTTCCGCGTACATATTCGAAAGAAGTACACGATATCCCGTTTTCCCATAATCACCACCTTCCATTTCGAGCAATTTATTCGCCACAATTTTTCCCAATTCAAAATCCCGATGAATCTTGCACGAACCAAGAAGTGAACCCCATATTCCCAACACATTACCTTCTTCGCCCAATTTTCGAGCTAACTCGTACGCTTCAACCACTCTCCCAACTCTCCCCAACATATCCACTATACAAGCGTAATGCTCTATAGTGGGCCGTATCTTGTATTGACTTTCCATTGACTCGAATATTTCGAGGCCTTCTTCGATTAAACCCGTGTAACTACAAGCAGAAAGTACCGCTACGAAAGTAATAGCATCAGGTTTAATACCACTTTCCTTCATGGCGTGGAATAGCAAAAGGGCTTTTTCGCCCATTCCATGGTGAGCATATCCCAATATCATATTTGTGAAAGTTACGGAATTCTTTTCGACTGACTTTTTCGAGAAAACCCTTTCAGCGTAAGGAATGGCGCCGGATTTTGAGTACATGTCCACTAAAGCAGAGCTCACGAATACATTTTCTTCAACCGAATTGCGAATGGCGAATCCGTGAATCAGCTTTCCAAGAGCTAGATTTCCTAACTGACTACATGCTGGTAGAACCGAAGCTAAAGTGACAGCATTGGGCGTTATATTTTCCTCCAGCATCTGACGGAAGATAATCAGAGATTCTTCGATCAACCCATTTTGGGTGCTCCCAGAAATCATTGCATTCCATACAGCGAGATCTCTGCTTTCTTTGGAATTCCCATTAAAGATTCTTTCTGAAGCTTGCATTAGACCTGATTTCGCGTACATATCTATGAGATAACTGTCCATTCCGTTGAACTGAATGCTATGCCTGATCATATAAGCATGTATCTGTTTACCGAGTTCTTGATTTCTGAGATTCGATGCTGCGGAGAGTAAAGCAGTAATCGTGACATCATCGATCGAAAACCCTAGCTTTTGCATCTCGTGCACGAGCATCAAGCCTTCATCATCGAATCCGTTCTGTACTAGAGCACATATCATCGTATTCCAAGATACAACATCTCTTTCGTGCATGTCACTGAAAACTTTGAACGTGTCTCCAATGGAGCTGCACTTCGAATACAAAGCTATCAGCGCGTTGAGCAAAATAACAGAAGAAACGGAAGAATTCTTGATTAAATACGAATGTAGCTGGCGGGCGAGATCCAACTGTTGTAAATCCGAAGCTGCAGTCAGTGCTAAAAGAAAAGTCACATCATCTATAGCTGCACCACCATCTTTTGCTTCCAATGCCTCGTTAAATAGGTCGAGCGCTGAAACAGAGCAATTGTTCTGAACATAACCTCCGATCATAGTATTCCAAACATGAGAGTTCTTGTTCAAACAATTGTCGAAAATCTTTCTTGCCGAATCAAGACAGCCAAGTTCTGCGTACATGGTAATGGCAGAGCTCACAACGAATAAATCATTTACGTACTCATGACCCAGTTTTGTTACCATCCCGTAAACTACATTAGCAATCTCGACATCCCCTAAACCCGCAACAGCAGGAAAAATATTAATAAAACTAACAACAGTTGGTCTAAAACCAGCTTTGATCATCATCACAAAATGACTGACTGCCTCCATTAATCTGCCCGTCTTCGCATACCAAGAAATGATAGTGTTCCAAGAAACCACATTCCGTTTTCGCATAGTCCTAAAAAGCCTCTCCGCCAAATCATGCCCCGAGCTCAAAAGACAAGTGGTGTACATATTCAACAAAGAATTGTACACAATCCTGCTTGGATCAACATTGTACCGCAAAATATGGGCGTGCAGAGCTTTACCCGTCGAGAGCTGCTTCGTCTCGGCGCAAGCTTTCAGGACAGAGGAATAAGTGTAAGCATCGCAGCTTCGATCGTCTGAGGAGTTGATGGTGTAGAACAAGCGGGAGTACAAGGATATAGCTTCGTGTGGCATTTTGTTGCAAATGTAGCCGATGATGAGAGTGTTCCATAGAACAGTAGTTGGTTGCGGAATTTCGTCGAACAGTTGGCGGGCGAGGTGCAGCTGGCCTTCTCTGCATAGGTGGCTCAAACGGAAACGGATAGTTTTGGGTTTGGGAGGTGAGCTGTGGTCCGTGTTGTGGTGGGTATCTTGTGAAGTGCTGCATGGTTGCTGTCGGCTGAGCTCCGGCGGCTCGACGGCGGTGGAGAATATGGAAGCGGAGCGTCTGTGGTGGTGGGTTTGTGCAATGGTGGATGAGGAAAAGGGAAGGGGCAGTGGCGGAGAAGATATGCCTATACGCATCTTTTTGTTTTTTTTTCTTTTCTTTTTTAATCCAAAATAATTCCCTATATTATAAATTTTTAGCTAATTTGGCCCCTCTTATTTTGGATTTCTTTTATATACGTGACCAATAATTTTATTTTATTTTATTTTCTTAATATTGAATTACACATACGTAAAATGGGATTGCTGTAGTGGAATTTTCTTTTGATTTAACAAAATAAATCAATTTGTATAAAATTTAATAAAATCTTTTATTAATAAAAAAAGTTTGTAGAATATTGCAAAACTATTTTTAAAATTAATCGATAGAATACCCCGTCAATAAGCAACAAATGATGCTCGCGATTTTTGTTAATTTACAAAAAAAGGTTTAAATTTTTAAAATGTGATTATGTTAAATTAAATGTAATTTTACTTTGATAAAATCCTTCTTTTTCATTTTAAAACATTCACCCGATATAGAACCATAGTTCTATATAAATAATTATCCACTAAGTACATATACGCATGTGTGAATGTGTTATTATATGTTGATCAATTGTTCAACATCACCCGATGTATTTCACCGGGTGTAGCATGAGCCCTCATAAACTAGTTACCTACGATTTATACTATGCTACACCAGGTGAAATACACCGGATAGATCTTCACTATTCATAAGCACATAAACATCCACACCCACACCCACACCCACATTGATGTGTGTAGATTAACAGTGAAAATCAACTCAATGTTATCTTCATCGGGTGTAGCATATAAATGACCAACCCACACTGATGTGTGTAGATTAACAGTGAAAATCAACTCAATGTTACCTTCATCGGGTGTAGCATATAAATGACCAGCTAGCTACTTAGTTCTTAATTTACCCTGCATTGTACTAGAATAATTCATTAATCATTAAGAGCAAAAAACATTGTAATATTATTTATTCTTGAGAAAATAGTTTATTCTCAAAACCTCATTTCCCATTAAGCTAGAGAAAAAAAAAAAAAGAAACCGAAACCGAAACCGAACTGCACAATGACACACCCTAACAAAATAGACTCACAAGTTGCATCAAAACAAATAGCTTCGTCCAAAATTTAACACACGTGTCGATTAGCCAAACTGTTTTGAGATCAATCAATAACAAAGCACACTCCTTAGGGAGTTTCGGACAAATTTGGAAACTTAAACAAACTTAAGTTGTGTAATGTAATAACATATATGAAGTTGTATGCTTATCAATTGTCTTCCTTAACAGGATCAAGTACACAACTACAATGTCACACAATTAGAATATACATTTAAATGCAGGCATATATAAATAGCTACCTGCCGTTACAAATAACTCGATTTCCAGTGTTTTGGCAATCACGAAGGAGATGGGCGCGGTAGCCTCTTGGCAATTTCCTGACAAACAAGAACATCATTAAAAAAATAAAAAAAAATTGCAATAACTATTTTACAAGCATCAATAAAATAGTCGGAAAAAAAGAAAGAAAAGAGAAATGCACCTCAAAGAGCTGATTTATGTTGTCTGCTGTCTTTGCAGAAGTCTCTATAAAGAACATTCCGTTTTTTTCCGCGTAGTCAATTCCATCCTTTTGAGAAAACAGAAACAGAAATGTAAATACAGCGACGAATAAAAAAAATTCTATTATTAAAAGGGAAATTAATCGAGACTACATCTACTAACTTGAGCAGGTACTTCTCGTCTTTCGTGGAGATCAGCTTTGTTCCCAACCAAAGCCATAACTATATCCGGACTCCCATGCTTTTGTAATTCCTGATAAAGTCAATATAACCGATTGATTAATTAATAGAAAATAATTTTCAAGTTCCCGGAGTAGGTAAAATACAAAGAATAGAACAAAATTGTATTAATTATTGAAAATACCTTGACCCAATATTGTGCCTTAGAGAAGGATTCGGGACTAGTTATATCGTACACAACAACTGCAACTGCAGCGCCTCGATAATATAACGGTGCCAGAGCTGCGTATCTGAATAAAAGGCAAAAAGAATGTTAAATTTTCAAAACAATCTTTTTAAATTTAGAACCGACAGAATTAGATTTGGATTGAGTGATATTTGAGTGAAAATACCTTTCTTGACCTGCCGTATCCCATATTTCAAATTTCACTGTAGAAGAATCTTGCAAGGCTATCGTCTGAGACAAGAAAGATGCTCCAACAGTAACCTAAAATCATGAAGAAAAAAAATGCAAGTTTAAATAAATCCATCAAAAAATTATATGTCATAGAATTTTGGGAATGTTTATGTTCTTCATTACCTTGGATGTTGGATCAAACTGACCACGGACAAATCGAAGAACGATGCAACTTTTTCCAACACCTGAATCACCTAACAGGACCAACTGCAAAGAAGATAACGAAATAAAATTATGAGTGCGACAAATTAGATTCAAAAAAATAAAATTCTTTTGCATTTCAATTTTTTTTTAAACGTGATTTCAAGGGTTCAAACATTGGCATTGCCTTAATAAAGAGGATTTCAGCACGAAGAAGTTATCATGAAGGATACACACTGCTAGTACAGTTATATGACCAGCGCCATAATTCCGTAGTAAAAATAATTCAATGGGATTTCTTCGCACGGCCCCGTAAATAAAAGGAAATAATCATTAATACTGGAACCCATTAATTGAAAATCCAACAGTAAGGACAAATTTAAATTGAAACACGATTTAAGAATGGAAGTGGAAAAGGATAATAATTAGAACATACATTTCTTTCTTTTACAACAATGGCTTACGAAAAAAATTACATCTGTACCCCCATATTCCATATCAAACTGAACATACCTAAATCTCTTACGTAGTTACGTATAATAACCACATTGTAAGCAAATAAACATCATTTATATCCAGAAACTTACGACTACAAGTTATTATACGCAGTTCCACACACCATCAATATAATCCCACAGAATTACGTTTTTGTTGATTCGGCCGATTCTAAACGTAGAGTATGGAACAGTTAGTTTGAAGCAGGGATTTTCAAATTAATCCATATAATAATTATCGAAATTAAAATTTATTTTTGAGGTGTTATTGATTCATGAACTAGCACAACGATATTTTAATTGGTGCAGCAATTTTCGAAAATTCCCGATTGCTCCAATGGACTATTACAAAATACAAAATTTGACGGGAAGCACACTGCAAATACTAGTCTCGACATTTTAATTGGGTGCAAGAAACAGTAGAAGACAACTCTATTAAGTCAAACAATAGAAATAACTACTCGCTTTTGACAATTACATTCATGACTAAAATACCCCAAGAACCAATATCGAAACATTTTCTTCTACTAGACTATGCTATTTCGCTGACCTGTCAACTGTCAAGTTCTCAAAACAAATTCATTTTGCCACTAAAGATACTCCGTTTATTAATCTTTGGAAGCGCATCGTTGCTAAGTACTCAATCTTTTCAATTTTTCCTATGCATATGCACAATTAAGAAAGGCAATTGATTTACCATTTCTACTACGTAATTACCCAATTTCTTATTCTTCACCAATAGAACATAAAATAAAAGATTATTCACAACTGTTGATATCAACCGATAATTACACATCATTAATACTTCCATTTCAATCAATCATGCATACAATCATTACCTTAACTTTAAGGTTCTTCGCATCAACTACGCCACCGTTATCCGGATTAATACCACCGATCCGCCCAGCACTTCTATCTGAAAAAAAACAAAAAATCGGTAAATAAATACAAGATAGTGTTAAAACACCATGGGTAAAAACCAGGGAGATCAAACACCAAACCTAATTTTCTCTGGTTAGTGTTTCAGTAAAGAATCGCGAAGAAAACGCACAGAATATAGGTTTAAAAAATGAATGGGGGAGAATCGATATCGGGATTTAGAGGATCAATAATAAATTGTAAACCCTAAATATTGAAATTTCACCTGGAACTGACGAAGAGCAACCCATGAATCAGCAAATTACAGGTTATTAGCTTGTATCTATATGTGTATGTATATATTTGGTGCCAATTGTAAATTGCTCCGATAGAATTTAGCCTAGAAAGAGAAATGATCAATCAATGGTGTTGAATGCGTGTGTGCGTGGCCGTGGAGGAAGAGAGAGACAATTGTCTAATATAATAAAATAATAATAAACTCAGATATCTAATCCAAAATGAAAATATAGCTATTAATTACTTTCTTTTGTTTGTGAAGTAATGTTTGAAATAAAATTGAAAAAAATAAAATAATACATTATTAGGGCAAAATTGAAAAAAATTGAAAAAAATAAAATAATACATTATTGAAATTCTAATGTGATAGGTAATATATAACATTTTTGTTTTCTCTTGAAGTGTAGCCCAATATTGAATTCAATTCATACTTAGATTAAAAGATCATCTTGAGTGATCTTGACCGTCCATTCTTACTTGACTGATCTTGATTGTCGAATCAGTGAGTTTAATGGTTCCCTCAACCTTAATCTCTCTCTCATTTCTTCTGTCGTATCTCTATCTTTTTTTGTTGCACCTCCATTATTCTTTGTATTTTCTCGGCAACATCTTTACGGCCTTAGCCGACATCGAGTGACTTTGACTTTGTAGCACATTTAATGTTACACACCGTCACGGTTGCCTTTGTGACTATATATACTGTTGAGAGAGATGCATGGTATAATTCACTCCTCCCCGATTCAAAACCTCTTCTGAATTCAATCTTCGTCTTCTGAGAGTAGATTGAAAGTGTTCCAAATTGACTGGTTCGACTATTCAACACGATCAAATTCCAATTTTTAGTCACCTAAAAATATAAATACAGTAGAACCTCGATAAATTAATAACCTCAATTAAATAATAGTTTATATCGGTCTCAACTCGGTGAAAACGTGTTAACTCGATAATTTAATAATTCACTAAATTAATAGAATTTCCCTAAGTTCGATTGTATTAATTTATAAAGGTTTAACTGTACTATAAGAGCAACTGCACCAGCAATAGTGCCCTTTTTACTCACACTCACAGCAGAAGCTTCATCTTTCGACCTCACTCTAATTATTATAAATCTCTTCTTCTTCTTCTTCTTCTTTGTTTCTGATAATTTCCAAATGTTTGATTTTTGTTGAGGGAAGCTGAATGATCCACACCCAAATTGAGCACTATTGATGTAAACAATGATTTAGTTTAGATACACCCAAATGAAATTGAAATTTAAACAAGAAATTAAATTAATAGGTAATAAAATCTCACATCCTGGATTTCAGACAATTTAAGTGTGATGGATGTTCATCTCACACACACACACACTCACAAAGAGGAGAGAGAGAGAGAGAGAGAGAGAGAGAGAGAGAGAGAGAGAGAGAGAGAGAGTGTCACGAACCCTTCTTCCTTTGTCTTCAATAATCAACCCCTTTGATGAGAAATAACCTGTAACAATAGAGTTCAATGAGGGAGTGATGGCGGCGGATAATGCTCTAGGGTTGGTGAGAAATGAGAATATTAGGCTAAAAGACGAGCTATACTAACCTAACTACGAACTAGCTTCTGAAATTGCTTGCCTTTCCCAATCCCGGAATCTGCTATTTATACTGAAATGACCAAGGCAATACGACGTCGTTCCGTTGGGCAGAGAATTGATAAAAGCGTCAATTAAAAACCACGCTTCTTTAAGTTGGAGAGCAACTCTTCTTCAAACGGCGTCGTTTCTTCTCTTTCCAAAAGGGGGCTATTCTTCTCTAATTCGGCATCGTTACAGAGAGAGAGAGAGAGAGAGAGAGAGAGAGAGAGAGAGAGAGAGAGAGAGAGCGAGAGAGAGAGAGAGAGGGATTCCTCTCCAAATATCTGGGAAGAGGAGTGGTAGCAATTGATTGAAGTAGAATCATTATTTTTATTTTTTAATTTTTTTTTTAAATGAAAAAAGTAGTGTCAAAATTCAAGAAACTACAGCAATAAAGGTAACACTAATATGTGCAAATGTATTATATCAACACAGTAATGCCTCTCATCAGATCACCAGATACTTACAATATCTGCTCACATTCAGAGTATAGTAACACTATATAATAGAGCTATACAAAAAGAAGCACAAACCAGTCAGTCACTAATTACAATAAAACCATTATCATCAGGGTAGTACTAATGGTTTGATCAATTTGGAATCATGTAACACATTATTGATCCAAGGATGCATCTTGTAATTACCCAGTAACGATCTTTCAAGTGCTTTACAAACTTCGTCAAGTTCAACCGGACCTTCCTTCTTCACTGCAAATATTATTTCGACGAAGCCGTCGTCCATGTACATGTGATACAGGTTGCTAAATACCTGTCAAATATCCACCAACTATCAAAACATAATGCAAAGAGAAGGAAAAAAAAAAACCCGAAACAAATGTTACTTCACGAGTTTTTCTCACCCTTTCCAATTTTGAATACACCGGTGCCCTCATACAAGTAAAGTAGTGCTTCGGGATCAACTTAAAGATGAATAAACCTTTGTCGGAAAGTGAGTCTTTTAAGGTCAATAGAAAAGATTCCTCAACAAAGTCTGCCTCTGGACTGATTAAACCCGAACTGCACAATTTAAATAAAAAAATGAAGAATAGAGTTATCTAGCAGGTGAAAAAAAATGATACCAAAATAAATAAATAAAATGATTTCTTTATTTTATTTTATTAAAAGCTCCGTTACCTTGAGTCTGATGAATCCACATCGATTATGAGTAAATCAACTTTGCTTCCATCTGCATGAACTACGGTTAAGTACTTGCTGCTAAGCATGCTGTTTTAACCTTTTTATATTACTACAATACACAACTAGTTGTCGCTACTTTATACCTACCTGCCTCAGAATTTGCTTTCTCTCTGACAAACTTAATTGCATCAGTAATATGTACCTGAACATGAGAAGAAGGAGAGTAGCAAAAGTATGAGCAATTTTTTGCAGTTTAAGTCGGAATTAATTTAAGCATCTTCAAAAATTTGTATGTTACAGTTAAATCAAATGTGGATGTTTAGAACCAACAGCCTTTCACAACCTTAAACAAGAAAACGTTAGAAAATAGAATATCACCTTCAACCTTTCATCTTCTGTAAAACCAAAATAATTGCTAGCAACATTCAGAACCACAGGATCTAACTCGACAACCTGGAAAATTAAGAAGAATATACATAAGGAGAAGAGAATTGAAAAAATGGTAAATTAACACAGCCAGAATTTTCGTTGTACCTCAATCTTTAGAGAAGGTAGCCGATTTCTCATAAACATAGGAAGTATTCCTGGTCCAAGACCAATGATCACTGTTTTGACCTGGAAAAGTGGGAATATTTTTTAGTTCCTTTCCATAACATGGACAGCTGTATCAACAGTGAGTAATAATATAGTAACATGAAGATACTAGTATATTAGTTCATCAGTGTTAATCGCAAAGTATTGTAATTTACCCCGCAAGTCACGTATGCAGGTTTTTTGGAGAATCGTTTAAGCAAAAAGAGATGAGGAAGTAATTAGAACTAGGCAGTGATTTGAAGAGAAAGTAGATGGCTCACCAAACCACCAGCTTTGGTAGTTCTTTTTGAATGTGTAGAAAACAACAGTAGTCCAGCAATAACCCCCTTGTGGAATCCAGTTGTCAAAATTGTGTGTTCAACTTTAACACCACTTGATGCTGCCCCGGATTAAAAAGACGATTAACGAAGGTGAATAAATATTGCTACTTGTATTCCTCAGCGGTAGATAACAGTAAGTTTAAAAGGCTTGTAAGGTAGCTTGGGAAAAAAAGAGATGACTTAGAGATGGGTAGTAAAAGCTGCTTGCGTGTCAATTTTCGCAATGAAGATAGTTTCACTGAACCTTAGGTACATGTCCTACAATTATTGCCACCAGAACCTAAATATAATTGATAGATCACATTCTCAGAGAAGCCTGCCTAGCAAAAGAACCTGAAGTCTACCAATCCTAGAAAGTATTATAACTGTGTGTGTGTGTAAATAAAGAATCGGAGGACAAAATTTGAATTTTCTTTCATCTTAGTGAAATATGCAGATGAGAACAGTATAATCTGGAGTCTCCTGTGGTTATTTTGTTTCCCAATTCTATTAGCTATGGATGAATTCTTAGAATTAGAACATGGCTAATATCTTATACATGGCTACATTAAGGAAACAAATTATTGAATGTATGCAGCAAAAAGTCATAATTTAAAATGACTCCAAAACCCAAATGGGGTAACACAAGTGCATAAGGAAAAAAAGAAAAGCTGATAAATATCAGAAATTCACCGTGAGAATCAATTTTTTTTGGTTTTCCTTTCTTCTGTCTGAAAGCTTCTGTGGATAATGGAGCTTCAGAATGCATCAAACTCTCAGTTCTTTCAAAATAAAGGCGGCGGAATGTGATATCCTGAGATTGATTATATATCACGTCTTCGACAGAGATTTGACCAGTCAAGACAGATGAAACCTGGATGAACCAAAGTAGAGAGAGGAAAATGAGAGACGGAAGTACATAAAGAGCAGTAGATATGAAATATCTAATCCTAGAAACTTGCATTAGAAACATGCCACTGAATATAGAACCATGAAAGTGTGCTAAGAGAGCAAATAATCAATGTTGAGAATTGAAAAAAAATAGTATGTCAAAATATCCTTTAGAGGTAGTAATAATTATCAGTGAACACCAAAGTATTAGCACATCAATTTAAAAGCTATAACCATATTCTGGAACAAACTTACTCTACACATGAAAAAGACAATTAATACAACTCCTATAGATCTCATAAGATGAGGCAAGAAATAGTAGTTCTTCAACCTGATGCACAGTTTTACTCTGCTTAATCCCCTCAATCATATAATCTCCAGCCATATATCTGCAAGATATCCATTTGATAAACTCGATTAAGCGAACACATGTAAAGTCACTCTGGCTATAATGCACTGAAACCATTGCAACAGCTTTAATGCTCTCTCTTTCCGTTGCACAATAGGGTACTATGTGCAGAAAAACTGAAAATTTTAATTGCTAATGGAGTAAGAAGGCATCCCAAGGCACATGGTGCTTGTCAACGATGAAAAGAAGTCATGTGTATCTCCCACAATTGTTTCCCCCCACCACCTAGGTTTCAAAAGAAGTCTATTCTCCCACAAGACTGGCAAAAATGGCATTTCTTATGTTTGAAAATGAATATGACTTCTCTCACTATCCAAAGCATGAAGTATCAGTATGAAGGAACCCCTACTCTTAGAAGTACTGCATATTTCTCTTGTAACTAGCAGAATATCACTCAATCTATACAAAAATGCCATTAGTACGTGCACCATCAATTGTTTTCCCTCCTAGTCCTAGGTTTTAAACGATTCCTCGTCTGTTCTCACACAAGACTGAAAAAATGGCATTTCTCATGCAATTCTTAGAAAGAATATAGTAACATAATTTTCTCGAAGAGGCCATCTTACTTGCAATCTCAAAACCCATTTATCCAAAATATTTCACAAGTGTTCCCAAAACAGGGTGCATACCTTGGTATACTGAACAACCCATAAACATGTTATACCATTGAAGAAACAAAACCTTGTGCATAAAACACTTAAACTAAGACCACGAAAGATTTAACTTTGCAAATAAGGATGGGGCCAATTGGCGAGCTGATGAAATATAGTATCTAAACAAAATATACTACAAAACTAGCATGGCTAATATGAAATCAAGAGCTAAAATCATTATCGAATGAGTCCTGTATTGGACAAGCGATGCTGATGGGATACTTACTTAGCATCAGTGTCATCGTCTCCCACTTGGCACAGTTTAGCGACAAAATAGTCGGCATCCTCCTGAAAAAGGAAAAAATTGAATATTTAAGTATACATCAAGTATACAGCTCACATTTTGGATTACATATTGAAAATAAATTTCAATATTACCCTTGTATCGTCCGGGTAAAGACGAAAATAACTGGAATCCAGTACAATCTAAAACCAATCAATAAAATGATGTGAGTGAAAAATGAAATATGAAGAGGCAGGTACAGGAAGAAAGTACACCAAATTTATAAATGACTGGAAATATTTACAATCAACAGTCGAGCAGCTTTGAAGCTTTGAAGAACGAGCCGTTGTCGGAATTCTGATGCGAGGATCTTCTGGGAAGCTTGAGACTGAATTGTAAACCTCAGTCACATAACAGTTGGACTGGAAACAAATTAAGTAGTGAAGTATGCCAATAGCAAGTGAACCACGTGGTTAATGATTATCTCATATTTAATTTTAATCTCTAACAGATGTAATAATTTAAGAAGCAGTAACTCTAACACACTTCATCTGGTATAGACTACTTCTTAGTAAAGTTTTGTATGTGGACTTTCTCATAAATGGACGATGGTGAGATTCAAATGAACATCTCATGCAAAAGCTTAAACTTTAGAGACATGAGTTATTTAATGTTCAGTAACTCGGACATATATAGCACACATGCCTGACCCTATATTGAAAACTAAATATAAAAACTAATAAATAGAAATGCAACAGATTATTAAGAAGGAGATAGAGCTTGGTTATGTAGCAAATAAACACCATAATCTCATATTAGATTAATATACTCGTTATGCACAACTTTTTAAGCAATTAAAGTATATCTACTTTCAGATTTTCCTGAACGGAAGAGCAATAGAATCTTAAACTGTAACTAAAACGACAAGTGAAGGGCTAAGGGGAGAAAAAAGAACTAACTTTCTGCAAAAATAATACGAGAAATTGTTTTGAGAAAGGTCCAGTCTCTGGAGGAGCATCAAGAAGGACACAAGTATAGAAGAAACGCGATGTTCCAGTTTCACCTAAAAAAAGCTTTATAACACGACCAGATTCAATCACTCCAATGTTTCCATTGACCCCTTGCTTCAGCTCTTCAAGTGAGTACCATTTATCTGTGCTCTTGGAGTACTCTTCGCGGACGGTATTTTCTCTTTTAAGTGCTTCAAGTAGCTCATCAACCTATAACGTCTCAAAAAGTAAATGCATTTCTCAAGATCCGTAGTAATCCAAATAACAGCACTGGTATCAGATTGTTCGGAATCTTGATCAAAGTGCATGGTCTTAAAGGGGGGTACATGGACAAAAGAAAACGGTCGACTGCTCTCACCTGAATACCCTGAGTTTCTACAAAAGATACATCCATGAATGGTACTATCCTAGACACAACAGTTAAATAAGATTTCTCTGCGACCAACATAAAAGTCTGTTGTGTGGTGGTTCCAGGAGATGCTTCGTCAGAAATGGTATAAAGATTGATCTTCCACCCAAATCGGAACTTTGAAAAAAGTAGATCTGAGAGAGTCATATGATTGAAATAATTTAGTGCAGAGAGAAACGATATACTGAATAAAAATCCAACTACTCCTATCTTCACGTTCACCATAATAATGTGAAACAGTACCTAGCACAAGAGGTTCTGCCAAGGTGAGACAAATATATCGGCCTCCAGCTTTTAACAGTCTTTTAACCTGTTGACAAGTCAAACTTTTGGACCATAACAAGTAACGAGATCGAAATTGTGTCATTATCAAACAAGACTATCATAAACCTCGGATATATAAGATAATGGTCCTGATCTGGGGCCATGCTCGGAATCCATCAGAATATCCAATCCTCCCTTATCGACGATGGCATCAAAGATCCCACTTTGAAACTGAATCAATTACAAATCATTAGTAGTGCAACTATCCATCACATTCGCATTGTTGGAAAATGCAATCACAGCACAGAGGCGCACTAATTTAGGTGGCAATTTCTTCAGAATCTATTCCCGTTCTTGATTTTAGTAATTGACATAACCATGCCAAAAGAGTAAAGTGCGGGAAATTACAGGCTAATTGACTAAAAACGATTTGATTAATCATTTGAAACAGGCACTTTGGAGATGAACTAAATCCAAAAAACTGCACTGATATCCTATCATTTCACCAAAATTGCAACATGGATTAAAATATCCTAATAACCATATTTTCTTGCTCCTGCAAACCTATCATTCTCTGACCCAAAATTGAATTCCCACATCATAAAACCATAATCTCAGTTTCCATAATTGAACAAATACACCAGCCCACTTTTTATTATACATATCGGCGATTTCCTAATTACAATCAACTGACAATTTTTACAATTAATTTGATTATTATGAATTAAATCCTTCGTTGCAATTGCAAGAGTTAGAAACTAGTGAATTTGTGCATAAGCCCCAAAAACCACATGGCCTAGGGCACTGAATATGAAGAAAAGGGGAAAAATTACCTCCGTAATATCAGTAATATCCATCACGCGCCACTTCATCTCCGGCCGTGCTCTGATATTCCTCCTCATCATGGCCTGAATCACCACCTTCGAGAAATCCACATTCGTAATCCCCGTAAACCCTTCGTCGTAGAGATGCTCCGACAGCCTCGAGGCCCCGCACGCCGGCACCAAAATACTCACCTCCTCCGGCAGCGGCTGCAACAGCGGAAATGAGAAATGGTCTAGCTCCTCCGCCAGCTGAAACGAGAGAAGGTTTTTGAGTGAGGTCCGGATTTGGGGCCAGTCGGCGTACCACTCGCAGAAATCGTCGGCGCCTTTTGAGGTGTAGAAACTGTCCCAACTCTCCTGGCTGATGAATTCCACGGCGGTCACCGGCAGCTCTTCTGCAATTCGAATGCGGCTCTCTTTCGCGGGGTTTTCCTCCGCCATTTTCACGCGTTCTAGGTGTTTCTGTGTGAAATGCCGTTTTGTGAACAGTTCAATATGTATATTGAATATATATATAATATATATATATATAATATTTGAAGTTTAATATCCCGCCCGAACAAATCTAACAAACTACGGTTATAATCCAACTCCAGCGTAATGTTTTCCAAGTACCCCTAGGTGTAAAGACTGTTATACCCTTCAATTATAAATTAAATTTGATAATAGCATTGATAGAGACAATATACAAACATTCTAATTGCAAGACCACATACACACACACACACTCGTCACATTCTTAGGGCTCGTTTGCTTAATGCTATTGAACTCTGTTAGTTAAATATTAGTGGCCGGTAAGATGATTGACTGATAATATTCGTTTTTAGTCAAACACGTTATTACACTTAAAACCCGCAATAAATATTATTATTTGGTCAAATTAATTGCACCATTCCACTTAGGGGTGTAAATGAGTCGAATCGACTCGCGAGCTTTCGGAACTTGCTCAAAAAAAGCTTGTAGAGCTCGAAAAATCGATTGTGGAAGATCGATTGATAAGTCAGGTGAACATACGGAATCCTCCGATATTCTCTCTAGTTCTTTGAAAGTAAACCAATGTATTGGAAGGTGAAATGCAAACATAACAGTGAAAGAACACCTTGCGGTTGGGGGTTGCGAGGGTCGGAGATCACGAAGTATGGTGGAGATCACACTTGTGTTATGGGCAGAATGTTTACTAACCATCGTAATTTGGACATGAATTATATTTCTGCGACATTGGTTAAAACAGTTCGTGAAAAACCATATTGTCAAGTTTCGAGCCAAACAACTTATGTATACTGAATTATGATTTGATATCTCATACCAGAAGGCGTGGTACAGTTTAACACGTTGCAGAGATAACATATATGGTACTTGGAAGAACTTAGTCGCGAAGTTGCCCAAGTATATGAAAGTATTGCAAATGATCGATCTCGGAACGATTGTGGAGTGGCAGAGTAAGACGATGAATTATCCAAGCCAGAAAGTGATCAAGTATGTCTTTTGGGCTTTCAAGCCATGTCTAGATGGATTCAACTTCTGTTGCAGAGTAATTAGTATGGATGGAACTCATCTGTACACAAAGTACAAACACAAGTTGTTGATTGCTACGTATTTGGATGCCAATCAACAAGTGTTGTCACATGGATTTGCTATGG